TAAACAGAAAAAAGGTTATGGTGACTTAAATAGAACATCCCTAGTTGCGGGGAAATTATTCAGAATATATTTTTTAAGAATGTTCTGAAAGAAACAACATGCTCTCCTTTTTCAATGTACTCCAAGCTAAATAAAAGGAATTTAAAAATGCATTTTCGATCCCTCAATCATGTAGCACAAAGAACTACATTGCTAGAGAACATATGAATACTGATATTTCTTGGCTAATTCATGGCACAGCATTTTCAGTAGTTACCAGCTAAGGAACAGAGAATAAGAAAACAAAGTACTAATTCAATTATTTTTGTGAGATGGTATTAGAGTCCTCTTGAGCTATTGCTCTCATTTAGCTGAACTTTCTCCTCTGCCAATAATACATTGCTCAATTATTTATAAAAAATATGTGCTAACTTCTTCTTCTTCTTATGTATTTGAATAAGTTCTTACTTCGTTCTTGTTATACAACAAAAGGTAAAGAAACAATAGTCACTTGGATACTAGCTTGGATACAGAAGCTGATGCAAGAGAATTACTCTTCCATTCATGCACACTCCATGATATTGCTCAACTATATCCAGCAATACAGCAAATTACTCACTTTCCCTATTTCCTTACCTGGCTTACACACCCCATTGGATGTTTATGCAATAGGGCTATGAGCAATGCTTAATCATGGTCCCGGGGCTTCAGATACAGTGAATTATCCTTCTTGATATGACCTTCCTGTTCAAGTCCATCTTACGTCTGTATCATAACTATGTCTATGTCATAGTTAATTACAACAGATCAATATAGTATCAAGAAAGTTCAATCCTAATATGTATGCAGAAAGAACAAACAGCTGCTTCCTTCCAGAGCCATAAAAATAGGGGAAGGAAGGAAGCAGCACAGCAGAGAAATATACAGCCTCAAAACTTCAGATATGTTCCGTGTGCCTGCAAGATAACTTCCCTTCAGAATTACATGAAAGAACACAAGGGAAGCAAAATCAACATGTTATCCCATGGTGTTCTCATGCTTCTCTTACTTTAGGGAGAATAAATCAAACCAATTTGAAGGAACCCCTTCCACTGAAGCCTCATCTGAGTAGACCCCCCCCCCAAGGGTGCATCAATAGTTAAGAGAAACAAGCAAAGTAACCTGAAATAAAGACACCAAAACTGTAGAGAATGCTTCAAACAGGACTAAAACTACAGGTCGACTTACAACAGTGCATTTAGTGACCGTTCAAAGTTACAACAGCACTGAAAAATGTGACTTATGACCATTTTTCACACTTACAACTTCTGTAGCCTTCCCATGATCACATGATCAAAATTCAGATGCAGGCAACTGGTTTATATTTATGACTATTGCTGTGACCTAAGATCATGTGATTACCTTTTGTGACCTTCTCACAAGCGAAGTCAAAGGGGGAAACCAGATTCACTTAACAACCATGTTACTAATTTAACAACTGCAGCGATCCACTTAACAACTCTGGCAAGAAAAAATGTGAAAATGGGACAAAAGTCACTTAACAAATGTCTCACTTAAAAACAGAAATTTTGAGCTCAGTTGTGATTATAAGTTGAGGAGTACCTGTATGCCTCTGTAGGAAAAACCCATCACAATAAAACAAAATAAATATGTCTTTAGAATACAAAACTTAAATACATCTTCAGAATACATCTTTATAATTTGTCCCCAAAATAAATATAGGCTTGTGGGAGATTACGGTAAACAACTGATACATTACAAACAATGCAGTTCATTATTGTGGAATAACAACATACTCTTATCAACAGCGGAAAATAAAAGTACATATTCCCACGTTGTATATCCTACAAATCCTGGAATTTTTAGAGAACACGTGATTGGATTCAGATACTGTAAATTTGCTAGCCCATTTACATCACCCCACAACCAGTGTAATTTTCCCTATCATTTGACCAAGCCTTCCAAGTGTTCATGTATAAGAATTATTCTTCAATTCTGGCATTGGCTGAATTAAGTTGTTCTAATGGGAATCCCACAAACATACCTTAGATCAGGGGTTCCCAACTGGGGGTGCGAAAACTTGGGTTTTCAAAATTATAGTGTATATGCATAATTCATTGTCGTTATTTCAAACTTTTGTAAAGGGTGTGAAAATATATCAGAATCGTTCTAGGGGTGCGGGGTATAGAAAAGGTTGGGAGCTGCTGCCTTAGATGGACATTAAGGCCTCAATCCACATGGACTGAAAGCTCATGTTGCCAGCATATGTACCAATAAAGCAAGAAATATGGTTGGGCATGTCATAAATGGTTTTGACATGAACATTTTCCTTTCTCTTCCCCTTAATCATCTTCTCTGAATTAATGACCTATCCATCTCCAAGTATTAAAAGTACCAAACAGAGGAATTGCAACCCTCAGTAGAACTGAGGTTACTAAATGGGATGACACAGGGATATCAGGCTTTCTCTAGAAAAGGGCAATGATAATTAGAGATGCCATGACTTAAACCTTACCACAGAGCTATTGAAATAATAATAATAATAATAATAATAATAATAATAATAATAATAATAATAATAATAATAATAATAATAATAATAATAATAATAATAATAATAATAATAATAGAGTTGGAAGGGACCTTGGAGGTCTTCTAGTCCAATCCCCTGCTCAGGCAGGAAATCCTATACCATTTCAGACAATTGGTTGTCTAGTCTCTTCTTAAAAACTTCCAGTGTTAGAGCATTCACAACTTCTGAAGGCAGGTTGTTCCACTGATTAATTGTTCTAACTGTCAGGAAATTTCTCCTTAGTTCTAGGTTGCTTCTCTCTTTGGTTAATTTCCATCCGTTGCTTCTTGTCCTGCCCTCAGGTGCACTCCTTCTTCTTTATGGCAACCCCTGAGATATTGGAAGACTGCTATCATGTCACCCCTCGCCCTTCTCTTCATTAAACTAGACATACCCAATTCCAGCAACTGTTCTTTATATGTTTTAGCCTCCAGACCCCTAATCATCTTTGTTGCTCTTCTCTGCACTCTTTCTAGAGTCTCAACATCTTTTTTACATCGTGGTGACCAAAACTGGATGCAGTATTTCAAGTGTGGCCTTACCAAGGCATTATAAAGTGGTATTAATACTTCATGTAATCTTGATTCTATCCCTCTGTTAATGCAGCCTAGCACTGTGTTGGCTTTTTTGGCAGCTGCAGCACACTGCTGTGCAAGTATGCAAGAGCAAGACTGACAGCTAGAATTCTTTTAGTCTTTATTAGCCAAGTGTGACTAATGTCTCCAGTGCATAAGCTCCCAGTCCTTAAAGAATATATTTATATACTGTGCACAAATTATTTGTATGTATTCTTCACACTCACAATCCGTATAACGGTATATATTCACTTTAACTGCTTTCATTAATAACATCCCAGTGGTAACTAAAAAGAGATTCATCCAGATGTTCACCATAATAATTGCCCACTTACAGGCCTGATCATATCAACTACAGATGACAGCAGATTTTAAGGTATCAAGTCTCTATAAATAACAGCTATTTCCTCTGAAACGATTGATCAAGTACAAAACTGGCTTTAAAACTGCCCTTTCTTCCACATTTGATTGATCCTCAAATTTATGGAAAGGAAAGGAGATAAACCTCTGTATCAAAGGTTGTGTTTTGAAGTGGATGCAATATCCCAATAGGCTCTTCAAATTCAGAGGCAAGTCCTCATAGTATAACCTTGCTTTCCTTTCAAGAAATCCTTGGTGCTGGGCAATGGTTAAAAATCAACAGGCATTATTTATGCCAGCCCATAGAGAAATAAAATAAGGAGATAAGTTTTACCTCCTGTATTATTACATACATGACAGTTCCTCAGAAGACAAATATTGGCAATACTGTGAGAGAAAGTCCATTTTATCTGTGGTGCAAAACAGGGCAGGGAAGTATTTTTCCCAGGATAAAAATAAAGAGATAAGAAAATTGCAGCCTTTCAGACAAGCCACTATTAAGTCACAGAAACTTTTATCAGTAGAACATTGACAGTTTTACTCTGCCTCTGCATCATTTACAATTCAGGAAGCTTTTCTTTTTCCTAAGAGAAGTTATTTTCATCTGCTAATAACCTGCCCATGCCACAGAGCCATTTAAGAAAGGAAAAACCTAGTTTGGCAAATAAACAAGAGGAAGTCATTTGCATTTGCTGTTCCAGTAGGGAAAGCTTTTGCGTACACAAAGATGAAGGGATAGAAAAAGTTTTTTCCCTCAATTAATGTGTGCCAGGCATCCATGATTAGAGTGAAGGGATACTCCTCCCTCCTTAAAAAAAAAAACCTGCAAACATAAAAAAAATGGGCAATTTTAAAAAAAGAAACACTTTGCACTCAGACAGACAGCTTTACTTGGTAGAAAGAAGATCAAGAAAACATCAGCTGTTGGCTATTTCTCAGCATAAGACCTCAAAAATGGGGTGCGGAGGGAGGGGGGAGAGCTGCTATAACATCCACAACTAGACAAGCAAGTAGACAACGCCATTGGCAAGACAAACCCAAATCCCCCAAAAAAATAATACACTGCTAGATTTTCAAGTCCCCCAGAACTCTCCAACCAGCAAGATGGCTTGCATTCCAGGTTGCCCCATGAGAAGAAATGGGCCGAATTGATCGATCGATCGATCGATTGATTTTGCATCAATTACCCACGTTTATTTAAAGAGCCCCATATTGGAGAACTCATTCATTCTGGGTTTTTACTAACCACAGTTTACAAAGGTCCTAAAGATACTGCGCAGCTGGGCAAACATGAGATGGAGTGGCGGCAGCATCCCTACGGGGAGAACAAGCTTCCACTCGCCCGAAGTCGGGAGGGGAGGGGGGTTTGGGGAGGTGGAGGGAGCGGAAAAAAAAACAAAACACGACAGGCACTCTCCCCCTTGGGCGCTCCCCCACCCGCGGAAGTGGCGAGACCGGCCGTCCCCCGCGTCACGCGCCCGCCACGAACACTTTCTTCGGCACCGCAGCGTTACCTTCGCAGAGGTAGCCGGCCAACCCCCAGATGAAGTCGGTGCAATAGTGGCAGAAGGTGGGCTTGGTGAGGGTGACCCTCCTGAAGCAGTGCCCGGGCGGGCTGCCTCGAGCCGTCGGCGGGGGCGGCGGGGGCGGCTGCTTCGGGGAGGCAGGCGGCGTCTGGGGCTGCTGCTGGTGGTGGGTTTGCTGCAGAGAAGTCGAAGAGGACGACGACGACGACGGCGGCGTGGGCAGCGAGCGGCTCTTGCCGCCTCTGCCCATCAGTGGGCTGGACGCCGGGCTCAAGCCGCGGCTGCCTCCCAGCAGGGAACGGGCTCCTTCTGCCATGCCGAGGCGGCGCGGCGACAATTGCTGCTGCCGGCGTTCCCGAACCAGCGCAGTCTCCCGCTTTTGGCGAAGGCGGCTTTCCCTCTTTTCCCAAGCGGACGCGGGGCGCTTGCTCGCTCCTGCTCCGGGCCGCCTCCAGGGACGCCCCGCCAGCGGCAACAGCAACAGCAGCGGCGGCGGCGGCTCTAGAGAGACTTCCGCCGCGCTGCCAGGCAAGCCAGAAAGACGGCGGGCCGTGGGCGAAGAGGAGGAGGAGGAGGAGGAAACCGAGGAGGAGAGGGAGGGACGCAGAGGGCGGCGCTTGGAGGCGCGAACGGCCGCTGCCCGCCTTCGCCTCGAGGCCGCCTCCTGTCGGGCCGGCCGCGAGTTGAGCCGGAGTCTGGGGAGAGGGGTGAGGAGGACGCGGACGCCTCGAGCCTGAATGGCAGCGTGGCTCCGTCGGTGCCAGCCTCTTGCGCGTCTCGGGGGAAATCAGCCCTCCAGTCTGGATGCCGCACCGGCCTCTGAGGTTAATCAGACGGAAGGACGTCAGGCACAAGTGGCGGGACCCACCTGCCCCTCTCGCCCACTTGGCCCTACAGGGAGGGTGGCGTGGGCAACTGGGCTGAAAAAAGTCCACACGGAAGAACCACGCATAACTCTTGGCCCGACGTCCACTGTACTACCGTAGTCGTCTGGATTTTTTTCAGGTCTGGTATGATGGCCCTAATACCGGTAGTCCTCGATTTATGGCCACAATTAAGGCCACAATTTATGTTGCTAAGTGAAACGTGGATTAAGTGGATTTTGCCCCATTGTACAACTTTTTTTTGCCACTGTTGTTAAGTGAATCGTTGCAATTGTTAGGTTAGTAACAGGGTGGTTAAATGAATCTGGCTTCCCCGTTGACTTAGCTTGTCAGAAGGTCGCAAAAGCTGATTGCATGACCCTGGGACACTGCAACCGTCATAAATATGAAACTAGTTGCCCAGCGTCTTAATTTTGATCATGCGACTATAGCAGTGGTTCTCAACCTGTCGGTCGGGACCCCATTTGGGGTCGATCGACCATTTCAGGGGGGTCGCCAAGCAAGGCTGTCCGCCATTTTTTTTGTCTGCCATTTTTTTTGTCCGCCATTTTTTCCCCCTTTTCCGGCGGGTGCCTTACCTCCCTTGGGCTGGGCCAGCTGGTGGTTGGCCTGCTCCGTCTCTGCCGCTTGCCAGCTATGCCTCGGCCGGCGCAGGGGGAGGAACCACGCATGTGCGGCGCTCCCGGGCAGGGAAAGTCCTTGACTTACGACCAGTTGGGCAGTCCTCGACTTACGACCGGTTTAGTCCTCGACTTATGACCAGTTTAGTCCTCGACTTACGACCGGTTTAGTCCTCGACTTACGACCAGTTGGGGTCGCAGCATTAAAAAGGTTGAGAACCACTGGACTATAGGGATGCTGCAAGAGTCATAAGTGTGAAAAATGGTCATAAGTCAATTTTTCACTGCCAAGGTTGACTCAGCCTTGCATCCTTTTGAGGTCGGTAAAATGAGGACACAGATTGTTAGGGGCAATATGTTGACTCTGTAAACCGCTTAGAGAGAGCTGTAATGCACTGTGAAGTTGTATATAATTCTAAGTGCTGTTGTTATTGTAACTTTGAACGGTCACTAAATGAACTGTTGTAAGTCGAGGTCTACCTGTAAAGGACGATTTAACTTTTTTTTTTTTGTGTGCTTCCAGTCAGGGTTGACTCCTGGCAACTTGTCTGGGCAAGTACCTGGAATTTTCTTGGCAAGGTTTTTTGAATTGGTTTGTCCTTGCCTCGAAAAAGAGAGACTGGCCCAAAGTCACCCAGCTGGTTTTGTGCCTAAAGCAGGACTAGTACTCATGGTTTCCAGTTTTTTTTTAGCCTGATATTATAACCCCTTCATCGGGGTGTCCAACCTTGGGAACTTTTTGTGGACTTCAACTCCCAGAATTCTCTAGCCAGCATCTCAACCTAACTTATAAAGATAGAGATTTCCCCTGTTAACCAAGGGAGCCAGCATTGTCTGAAGATACTTCCATGGTCATGTGGCCAGCCTGACTATGCGCCAAGGTGCATGGAATACTGTTACCTTCCCACCAAAGTGGTACCTATTTATCTCTTTGCATTTGCATGCTTTCAAGCTGCTAGGTTAGCAGAAATCCACAAGTCTTAAAGTTGCCAAGGTGGGACACCCCTGCACTACATCAACCTGGTCTCAACTTAACTTATAGCTTCTTGTTTTTCCCTTTGAAACCTGGGGCAATGATCACCTCTGATGAGGCATTCAGAGATACACGGTCCCCTCCAGGGTATTTTTAGAAACAAACAGCCTAAACATGCTCAGAGAATCTTTTGTTGGACACATATGTTTTAAAGTGTCAGACTTTTTTTTTTTTAAAGATGCAACTGTTTTGGAACAATATGTGAATGGAAAACAATTGGGGGGGAAGTTGCATTTTGCCCATTCTCTGATAAATTCTGTTTGAAGCAATAAAATGTTTAAACTGCATGTGCTAAATCGAGTGTGGTTATTGATTTATTTTAAGTTATTCTGGATAAAAATAAGCCTATCCTTCACAGATACAGGAACATTGACCTCACAATGTTTTAAAATACTGATCATCAGCATTTTTGTTTAACTAGTCATGTCCTAGTTCAGTTAATATTAAAAGGAGTAAGGAGAGGTTCATACATATCTTAGGGTCATTCTGCACAGTTGCCAGTGGGCAGCATTTCAGCCATCACATTTTACACCTCTTGAGTCAAGAGAATCATCCTAAGCTCACCTCTATTCCAACAAGAAGTCGGTTGCAATAATACTTTCTGCATCACTTCGAAAGTGATGTTTCCATCCACATAGTTTCTCTGCCACCATCTAGAGCAATGTTTCTCAATCTCAGTAACCTTCACGTATATGGGCTTTAACTCCCAGAATTCGCCAGTTAGGACTGGCTGGGGAATTCTGGGAGTTGAAGTACATAGATCTGAAAGTCACTGAGGTTGAAGAACAGTGATCTGATTCTACACAATGTCTGTGTTCCTGTTGGTCATTACACAGAGCTGCTTGCATGCCCTCTCCTGGTCATTCGCCTGCTGCTGCCCTTCACAAGCCATTTTCAGGATATCTGAATCTGATGAGAAAAATACACTAGAATATATATATTTTTTAATCTCAGGTTACTTCTCCAGTAAGTGGTACTCCAAATCTCATTCTATCTGCACATGCAGCCAGTGTACCAGTTCTTAAGTAATAGCTGAAGAGGACCACTACCCCAGACCTAGTTCTTTCTCTATTTAAGAAACATGGATGGATTACCAACAAGTGGACCTTCCTTGTTTTGGTTTTAAACTAGATGAAACTGACAAGTATTCTGCCAGTTTCCCACAATTGAGATCAGAATGTTGGTTGCTAAGCAAGGCAGTTGTTAACGTGAGTCGTGCCTGATTTGATGATCTTTTTTGCCACTGTTCAGTCAATCACTACAGTTGTTAAGTGAATCAGGTGGTCGTTAAGCAAGTCCAGCTTCCTCCATCAGAAGCCGGCTGGGAAGGTTGCAGATGGCAATCAGATGACACCCCCATGATGCTGCCAATTGTTGTCAATAGCTGCAAGTTGCCAATTTTGATCATGTCACTGTGGGGATGCTATGACAGTTGTAACCAGAAGGTCTGGTCTTATCAATGAGGAACACCAGTAAGTCACTTTTTTTTCATTGCCACTGTAATTTCAAACAGTTGCTAAACAGATGGTTGTATATCAAGGACTACCTGGGTAGTGTTTTTCTACCATTCTGCTGGTAAATGCATTGGATGGGAAGATGCCAGGTGTGAGGGATAGTGAGTGGAGGTGGGTTCATTAAAAAAAAGTTCTATCAATAAAAGCCCCATTTCCTGAAGACCACCCATGGAAAAGAAAGCAACTGGCTTTTATTAAAGAAGTAGAGAACCAGGGAAATCAACCAATCAGGGACTGTGGCAACTGCTATTTAGAGAGAACACATGGCCAAAATTATTGCCAAAGCTTAAAATCAAGGCAGAAATTTTCTAAACTCTTCATTTCAACAAAGGAGACAAGCAGCTTAAGGCTACAATGCAAAATAAAATTTTAAGCCGCAAACTAAATTATGTTACGACTTACAGCTATGTGTGAACCATGTCACTATTTATTTCTGATTACACTGGAAAAGTCTTCATTTGCGTATTCAAAAACCCTAAAAGATTTTAGTATGTACAGCTTGAGAATATTAAAGTATCACCGTTGATTTCATGCAACTTCAAGAAATCAAAAGCTGAACTAAAGTGATACCAGATCTTCAAAATTATTCATTGCAAACTCTATTATCTATAATACTACATATAAAATAGATTTAAGCAACGAAAAAAACGGAACATGGGTGCATTATTTGAATATTCTGCATCCCTACAGTAGAATAAAACTCTTCTTAATTTGAAAAGTGGAACTATTCCTACGGATAGCTAGAGGTATGCTTTAATTCTGTGGGAGTGCAGAACTTGGCACCAACACAAAATATTTTGACTGCTTGAGCTTTCATCTGGAGAGGGGTAGATAGCTAGACAGAACAGGTTTCTGCTTTTGAAGATTGAGAAAAATGTACTTGAAACGGAAGGCAATGACTACTAATATTTTCCATGAGAAACTAGTGCTGCAAATCTCTGGTCTTAAAACATCCAATACTTCCACACACCCCTCAGGAGAAACATGCACGTCTATCTTTCATTTTCTTGGCTGTTCATTACTTATCATTTGGTTACTCATTCAGTTTCAATGTGTGAATTTGCTTCTTTTAAAGTCTCACCTTCAGCATATCCACAGTAGGTTTTTTCCCAGAATGGCCGGGCAACCTAGAGAATCACAGGTAATACCAATCCTAGTAAGTGTAGCTTAGGGGTATTGGGAAACCTCTTGTTTGTCATTTGCTATGTTGTCTAAGCCCTGTAATAGATAGATCACACATACATATAGTATAATGTAGTGCAGGG